GCCGTTTTTAAGGTTAGGTATAATTAGACGAGACGAACCGCACGATCGATCGAACTTGATATATCCAGCCAAGGCCTCCATGGAATATGTCTAACTAGTGATAACTAGTTGGCCATCAAACTTCATCCATCACAGGCAAGCAATTATCACTCAATAATTCTCGAAAGTACGCGCATCTTACCTAGCAATAAAATATAGCATACTCTGCCTTGTGGATTAGCGAGGCAGCACAGAAAGGGATGTATAAAAAGGACAGATTAATGTAATCCCAACCAGAAAAAGATCAGATTTAATCTAATGAGAAAGTGGTGGTGTTCTTGGAGTCTGATGAGGCAGGCATCCATGATCTATGATGCATGTGATCCATCATCCATCATCCGTGGATAACTCTCAAGCCAAGCCAGGGAAGGCATATCAGCTTTTTCTCTCGCTCTCTCACTTTGGCTTTACGGCCACCCGATCCCGACATCATCATATATGCATATCATAATGCTGTTCCGTTCCGTTGCATGCTCTACAGCGGCAACGGATTCCGTCCGTCTGTTAGCTAACGGCCGCCGACGGTTTGTTCTTCATTCCGTTCTACCAGTAGTACAGTAAATAGTAGCGCGCGCAGCAGCCAAGATCAGTCTAATCACAGTCAAATTAGTAGTATACTATATAAACCGTCGATTCAGCGCTAGCTGGAATAATCATGGATATTTACATGTCAGCTTCAACTCAACTAGGCCGATCACGGAATAGATTAACATTTGCTTAGCGACAAGTTGCGTACTGATCAACCACGGCGGCGTATTATGTACGTAGTAAAATCAAATTAACCTGGCTCTCTTTTATTAGTCAACTTATTTGTCGTAAACTCAAATATTAATTAACCAACCAACTCAAAGACGATTTGGTTAAGTCCGCTGCAACTGCGGGATGCTCACCATACGGCCACATGCGATACTGTATGGAATACGAGTAATCAAAGTAGTACGCCAATCGACGTATGTTTACCTGTGCGTGGTGTCACTAGACAGGCTGAACTTATGACTAGCTAGCTAGCTCGTCAATTAGCTCACGCACTTATGGATGTTAGTCGTGGGCAGTACGTGCGTGCGTACGTGTACATGTCACATGCACACGTACACATGTACTCTTAGACTACCATTACCCCTTGAAGATGGACGTCCGATCTCCGGCCCTCAAGATCTGCTTCCGAGTGACGACGCATGGCTAGACTACAACCGGACAAGTAGCATGAATACCCCCTGCCTGAATCCTGCAGCTGCCACGCTTCGGACCACTGTAGTAGCATGCTCCTATTCATCGATACTACTCTCTCCCTCCGTAAACTAATATAAGAGCGAGCGTTTAGATCACTACTACAAGCTACTAACGTGAAACAAAGATAAGATTCATATTCAAGTAGCATTTCCGTGGTGCTTAAATGAAACATGTCATACCATGAGGAAGTTCATGTCATCTTGGATATCGACGCTCACCCGTATCTTAACTAAACAGTGCAGAAGTGAATTCATAACAACCATATGTCCCTGTGTGGCTGTGTCAATATAAAGCGCGTTATTTCTTAGTGAAAGAAAAATAAAATTCAAACGCAAGTACCACTTCTTGTTATCTTCGGCTCAAGTGATTGAATCGAATAAAAACTGGTTCTAGGACGGAGAACATGCGGGATTTCTTGGAAGTTGCCGAATGGTTCTCCTTATCTCAACTAAAAGCGCTTTTGGAGCCTGGCAAGTGGGAACAAACATTGTGGTAGGCTAACTAAGCATAGGAGCCGCACAAATAAATAAAGCATATAGCATTGCAACAAGGCGATTGTTTTTGTATGGCACGTCATTTCCAAAAACGAATTCTGTTCGGTCCGCTGACAAGCCCAGCACTCGTCTTGCCCAAGCCGCCGGCGGCATGTCCGACCGCAGCCGGACACCGGCATATTCCACTCCTCCCGTCGACAAGAATGGCCCGTCATTTTTGCGTTTTCCTAAAGGTCGCGCCGGGCCAGCCCGGAGCCCGACGGGCTTTTACGTGTTCGGGCCAGGCTCGGGCCCAGAAAACAAGCCCGATGGCTGGGCCGGGCCGGGCCAGGCCCGGGCCTGTTTTTTTGCGTCGGGCTTGGCTAGGCCCGACCCAAGGTATGGCCAGGTATATTTGAGAACAAAAAATCTACACTTATGGATTGGTTACATAATCATCTTACGGACCCCTCCCACTAACCAATCTCTCCTCCCCTTGAATTCAACTGTGGGCCCTGCTTCTGATATCCCATCCAACGAAAAACTACCACACATGCCCGTAACTTAAATTCTGTAAGACGTGGTCCGTAGGTGTAGCAAAGCTCGTTTGAGACGCAAAGAGAAAGCAGAGGCGGCCAATCGGCGACCTTTCTTTCATGCGGTCAAGCGGGTCATCATCACACCCCTAAACCAAAGCAAAGCAAGCCGGGCCAGGCAATGACACAATAAAGCTTTTTTTTAGAGACGGCGAAAGAGAGCGACTAGGGTGTATTATAATCTGATATTCACAAAATCTGATATTCATCGGCTAAATCATGTCGAAAGAGTGTCTATCAACTAATCGACACGCTTTCCCGGACCGGAAGAGACTACATTATTTAGCTGGTGAAGAGTCTGAATGTTCACAAAAACTTTGGACTGAAGTTGATATGATACGATATACAAAAACCAAAAGTGGCCACAAGAAACCAGCAAGAGCTTGAATGCAGCAAGTTGCAGTCTGATAGGATCTAGAATTGACAGCTTAGGATTAATCCTTTGGTCCATGAAGAGAATGCGATGAGATTGATGGCTGAATGACACGAGACAAAGTTAACCTCAAGCAGAGTACACCACAACACAGCCCACAAAAACCAAACTAGTACCATCTCTAGTCAGAAATTAGACAAGACCAGACTACTTATTAGACAAGCTAACTGACAAGCTGGTTAGGCTCCAAAGAAGGCATCAATTAATTTAGTGGGTACACTTAGCACATAAACCTAGAGATAATCAAGAACAGAGCCTGGTTTTTCGGACATGAAAGAGTGGGGAACTTTAACTTTATATCATTCAGGTATGCACAATCCTTTGTTCAAAGGAGATGTCTCTTTCTTTCCTTTTTTTCTTTACTCTTTTCTCTCTTGGTACATGCACAAAACATGGGAAGGGGAAGAAAAATTGTCTTTTCTCTTTCAGAACAGCACGCAAGATCGCAAACGGAAAAAGAAACTATATATGTCATCAAGAAGCTCAAGTGTTTGAGGAGCGCTTAAAATTAACATTCGAATGCCATTCATCACTCCCCGCAAAACAAAATGCAATCTATTGTTATCTGTTCACTGAGAGAGAGATGCAGAATTTCTTGGTAGTTGCCAAGTGGTTCTTAACAAAAGCGCTTTTGGAGCCTAGGAACAGATAATGTGGATAACTAAGCATAGCAGACACACAAATAAATCAAGACAATTTGGCAACAAGAAGATTGTTTTGTATGGCACGTGGTGTCCAAACCAAATTCCGTTCGGTCCACCGACGAGCCCAGCACTCGTCTCGCCAAAGCCGCCGCCGGCGTGTCTGACCGCTGCCGGACACCGGCATATTCCGATACTCCCCGTCAACAAGAATGGCGGCGGCGTGATTATCCTGACTAATCAACTCTTTACCAAAGCAACGCGACCGCTGACCTTTATTTGGAATCTAAAGACACGACCGCTGATGAACACAGCAACAAAAGATCAGATGCGAAAATGAGTGTCGCAGAGCACAGCTCCAAGCAAAAATTACAGAAAAGTAAACCAGCAATGTTCGATCAAAGCAACGGATAATAACGGAAAAGAAAAGCTACATACATGATCAGGCCATGATTCAGGGCAGGCATCTCCCTTTCAGACGCAAGAAGAGAAAGCAGAGGCGACCAATCGGCAAGCTTTCTTCACACGGTCAAGTAGGCCAGCCAATGAGACAAGAAAGCTTTTTTTTAGAGTCGGCGAAAGAGAGCAACTGGTATTTTATATACGTATTATATCTAGATTATGAGATGCTTTCTGGACCGGAACATACTACATTATTGGCCGACGAAGAGTCAAAATGTTCCAGCAAAAAGACTGACAAGCTTATATGATCTACTAGTACCAGTGAAAGATTAACCATTGGTACAAAAACCAAAACAGGCTAGTGTATTATTAGAACATTAAGTGTCAGAGTGATCAGCAAGAGCCCACAAAAAAAATAGCAAGATAGATCATGGCTAGTCGCAGTATGTTGCAGTTTCATACTCAAGAAACTTATTTTGGGACGGAGAGAGTATGATCTACAAGTGACAGCTTAAGATGAACCCTTTGGAACATGGAGAGAATTTGGGATGGGACTGATGGCTCAATTAGATGAGACAAGTTTACCCTGAAGCAGAGTATACCATAACAGAGCTCACAAGACCAAACCAGTAGCATGTCCAGTCAGAAATCTTAGAGAGAACTAGACAGATCTGACTGCTAATTAAACCAGGAATTTTACTATCTGGTAAGGCGCAATTAGTGGTTAGTAAACATAAAGTGTGATCAGAAATGAAGTACACTTAGCACAAAAAACCTAAGATACCAAGAACAGAGCCAGGTTTTTTAGACATGAAAGAGTGGGGAACTTTAACTTTATATCATTCATGTATGTACAATCCTTTCTTCAAAGGAGATGTCTCTTTTCTTTTTTCCTTTTTTTTGTTTACACTTTTTTCTCTTCGTACATGCACAAAACATGGGAAGGGGAAGAAAATTTGTCTTTTCTCTTTCGGAATAGCACACAAGATCGGAAACGGAAAAAGGAGCTATATATGTCACCAAGAAGCTTAAGTGTTTGAGGAGTGCTTACACCAGTCACTCGGTCCCGTCGAGGCCTGGACCGGCATCTTCCAGCAATCTCAGTCTTCATTATTCTTCTTCGCTATTTTCTCTACTTCCATTGCAAACAAGCAAAACAGGGCACCTGAAGTAAGCTTCTTCAGCTTCAAGCGAAGGAAGCCCGGCGCTGCAGGTGCCTCAAGCTCTGCTCCATGCTGACCTTCACCATCTCGGCGAGCATCTTCTTGGCCTTCCCACCACGGTCCTCCCCATCGATCTGAGAAGCAATGTTGCTGACGATGTTCTCCAGGGTGTTGGGCTGCAGCTTCGACCTCGAGTAGGGCGAGTTGCGCAGCAGGTCGAGCAGAGCGTGCGCCTTCACTCTGGACTTGGGAGTGCCATGAGCGGTGAGCTCCAGAAGACCGGGGATCGCGCCTTCGTTCAGAATGAGATCTCTGTATTTACTGCGGTCACTCTCGCACATCGTGAGGAGCGCTCCAACAGCATGCTCTCGGCCTTGGAGGGAGCCTTCCTCGAGCACCTCCACGATGGTGAGCACCCCGCCTTCCTCGGAAGTTAGGGCCACTCGGCCTTGATCAAAGGCGAGCAGCGATTCCAGAAGGGCGCAGCACTTGTCTGCTGTCTTGGAGGACCTCTTGCCAGCTCTCAGCAACTCTAACAAAGGGGGGATGGGCTGGACAGAGAGGATGGTTTGGAGGTTATCTGCAATGGTGGAGAGGTTGTAGAGGGCCATGACAGCATCATTCTTGGCCTGCGGATTCCCTTCTTCCAGAACCTTTACAAGGAGAGGGATTGCCCCGGATACGCTTATGATGGGCTTATTTGTGGATGAGGCTGAGAGAGTGAGGATTGCAGCAGCCGCATACTCCTGTAAGTTCAGATCGCTTGACTGCAAGTAACCAAGCAGCGGCTCAAGGGCACCGGCATCCAGTATCTTGATCTTATTCCTGCATAGATGAAACAATTCCAGTTCAGGAACAATGTGCATGCATCATAACAAATATACTGCTCTGCAAGCTAAAGATTCCTGGGAAATGTTACTGAGCCAACTCCACATTTCAGATGGTGATCATGTAAACGGAGAACATCTGGGTAAAACAAATATACGTTGTACTACATGTTCTCAAGGATGATTACATTGCTGGCATGGTACATGTATTAAAGAAGAAGTTTCATCCATAGGAAAGCCATGTCTCAGAGACGACTTAGGAGCAGTACAAGGTCCACCGCAGGGCCTAGTTAAGTGCTAGACAATGACGAAACAGTGATCCAGTACTCGGTACCCAGTTAGGCCAGCTATTGCAGAGATCTACATTGAAGGCTCTGCTACTACTAGGATGGCGTCCAGGACGGCTGAGAGCTGGACATGTGAATTTTACACCAAGATGGGAACCATGATGAAATAGTAGTACTATTGTATAATAGCCAATTACTCAAATCCCTCTCAGATACTCGATTAATCCACTGATTAGGTGTTACAAGGGTAGGTCCAAGGAGGATAGGGGAATCGAGAGCCTGGGAAGAGCCAGGGGATACGCCCATCGACGGACGGCCGGCCGGCCAATCAGTATACAGTTCTTTGATGCCCTCACGCCGGTTTAACTGTTTGTGCTGATTACTCATTTGCAATTATCAGATATGAGGCCCTCTTTGATTTAAAGAATTTCTAAAGGAATTTTGGAGGATCTAATCCTCAGGAATTTTGGGGGACCTAATCCTTAGGATATTTTTTACAATGGGTTGTGTGATTCATAGGATTGTGATCCATAGGGTTCACTTGTACCAGTTTCGTAGGAAAAGAAAATTTCCATCCACTCCAACCTCATGTGGAGAATCCTACATTTTGCCCGCACAATCAAACCATCGTTCCTCTGTATTTTTCTATTCCTACATCATACAAATCCTGCGAATCAAAGAGGCCTCACAGAGGTAAAGGGTTACTATTATGCACCTATGGATACAGAAACAGAAGCGGAAAAATTGGAAGTAGGGAGAGTGGATTTGGCCTCAGATTAGCATTAGCACATTGATCCTCGCCGCCGGCAACACGAGTAACACCTACTCGATACGCACAGTTGTCACCGGGGCTCACACCATACGCTGTCATCACCGGCCAATTCATGTCCGCCAACAACAAAAAAAACCTAGCCACAGACGGGAAGAAGAAGAAACAAGAACTGCGCAGAACGGCCGAGAAAGAATCGCATCACACATCGGAGTAAACCCACAATGCCCCCAAGACTCCCAAGAGATGAAAATATCCAAGAAGAGAGAAATCAGGCCAAACGGAAAGGGCCAGATCCGCGGCGAGGAATCGATGGCGGCCGCCCCTCTCCCTCTGCCTCCGGTGAGGCTAGGGTAGGGTTTTCCAGCCGCGGGCGTGCGCTCCGCTTATAAAGGCTTGTGGAGGATGGGTGGATGGGCTAAGAGCAACGAGGCAACTGCGGCCCATGGGCCGAGAATAAACTGAGCCTGGTACTATCGGCCGGCCTTATCCAAGGTTCGTCTCTTTCTCAAAAAAAAAAAATCCAAGGTTCGTCTGAACGGATGGAACCAGATCTGATCTGAAGAAGAATCCAGACAAGAACTCGATTCTCTCATCGGTGTTGGTACAGTTGACATCACCGACTCACTATCTATCCGCAGGTTGGTATCAGTCTCAGATTATCAGGCCTACCAACAACCAACCAATGAGGTCAACATACTCTATATCTGAACACAAAATAGCTTACGGCATCATCATGGGCAGGAAATTTGTAAAGCAGGCATGGGAGGCTAACTGTGTGTCTGTATCTTGACCGCGGCAGTTGGAAAGGGGCCAAAATATTAGGCAGCTAGCAGCCCAGGAATTCTCTTGTCTTCTCTACGAGAAGAAAGAAGAAGAAAGACCGCTTCAACTGATGCTAGTAGATTTTGCTCTCGGGAAGCCGCCAACCAGAAAAAGGATACGGTGGTTGGCCAACTGAGGTCAGCGTCCAAATCAGGCCAACAATCTGCTCTACTCTAAACCCACCGTGTTCTTCTTATCTTTCCCCATGCTGCAATCTCCTAGAAATCTATAGGATTCCTTCTAGGGAGGAGTAGGGACTGCAGCTTGGTTCAACTGTCGCCAGATTGAAATCTCCGTGCCACCAGCAGATGCAACGCGATTGGCCGCGCGTCCAGGGGAAGAAAGGCATGACGATCCGACGATGCCTTACCCGCTAGATGATCCTAGTAGAACATGCTTGAGAACATATGCTTGCCTTGCCTTGCCTTTTGTACAAAGAGGCTAATTTTTTGGGGGGAATGATAATATATATATATATCCAGGTTGCGCCTTCATGGTAAATTCGTAGATATTTTCACCACCGGTGGCCGAGGAATTGATTTCACCCAACAACCACGCCATCTTCCGTGGTCAGGGGGAGGGGGGCCACGGAAGGTGCGCAGATATTTTTGTGATCGGCCAATGGCCATGGGAAAATCGAACTGCTAAGCCGCCATGATTAAATAAACAATTCATTCGATTTAAACGAAGGATTGTACGACCAACCAAACCAGAGCCAGAGCCAGTCCAAAAACTGGTTGCCGAGTTGGGCGAAGAAACGGGTTCCAACTTGTTTGCGGAAATTCGACGAATCAATGGGTTGGGTGTGGAGCAAGGAAATTGTCCGCGAAATCTATATGGAATTCGAAGTAGTATCGCTTCTAGGGAGCAAACTTCCGAAAAATTTCATATCAATTTGGGGAAATTTTACAAGCAAATCTAAGCAATTGGTGGGGGGTGAAAGAAGAGGACACAAATACCGCCAAATCTAAGCAATCGGGAATTCGAGGTTGGATATCCGGAAAACATGGAGATTAATCAAGTTTTTTTCGAAAAGCAAGATTAATTAGCATCGGCGCTACTGAGGGAGCGACGCAGAGGATACGCAGGGGGAAGGAAAGGGGGGCTGTACTGTACCTCTCGTCCCTGACGGCGAGGTTGAGCAGCGCCAGCAGCGCGGCCTCGCCGGCGCCGCCGCCGGACCGGAGCATGGCGACGAGCGGCTCCACGGCGCCCGCCAGCTTGCGGCGGTGCCGGGCGGAGGCCCGCGTGAGGCGCCGCACCTCGCGCGCCGCCTCCACCTCCCCGCCGCGCACCCGCTCCACCAGCGCCCGCAGCGCCGCCGTCTCCGACGGCCGCTCCGCCGCCCCGTGGCGCTGCTGCTGCTCCCGGTCCCCCGACGACGACGACGACGACGACGGGCTCACCGGCTCCGGCGACTCCATCTCCTCCGCTCCGGCCTCGAGGGGGTGGGTAGGTAGCTCCGCTGCTTGAGCTCTGTCTCCTCTCTCTCTCTCTCGCTGGTGGGATGCGAGGAGGGGTGGGGGTCGGGCCGTCGCGGTCTTATTAGAGGAGGAGGGGAGCACGGGCGGGGCGCGGGTGGATGGCGACGGCGACCTCAACGGGGGGCTAACGGCGACGGCGACCGCGCCGTTCCGTTTCCCTGGCTTTCCGTCCCGTCGAGCGCCGTGCTTGTCGGCCGCGGGCACGGGGAACCGCGGACGGCCACATACGTGTGCGAGGGGACACGTCGGCGCCCCGCATGCCATGGCACTTAAATTTCTACTGTGTACTCCGTATGCGATACTCCCTCATTTCTTTTTAAGTCTGCATATAACTTTTGTCTGAAGATGTTTAAAAAAATAACTTTTGTCTGAAGTCAAAGTATTTTTATTTCGACCAAACTTGTAGAAAAAGGTACTCCCTCCGTCCGGGTGTATAAGTCATTCGCGTAGTTCTAGGTCATCGATTTGAGGAATTAAATATGTGTTATATGTCATGAAAAGTATACCACTAGATTTCCACACGGATGTAGTTTCTAAATATATATTTTTTGTCACATATAATACATATTTAGATAGTTAAATTATCGACCTAGAACTACGCGAATGACTTATACACCGGGACGGAGGTAGTATCAACATTTACATGGGCCAAAGAATATCTCTAGATTTATTATGAAATGTAGCTTCATATTATCTATATTTGATATTATAGATGTTGGTATTTTTTTATACAAATTTTGTAAAGTTTGGCCGGATACAAATTTTATATGCGGAGTAAAAAGGAACGGAGGGAGTATGCTATTAAAAAAGAAATAATAATAATAAAATACCGACCCGAATCTTCGCATAAGATCAATGACATAGGATGTAGATGTGCAATATTTTTTTCTTGTTGCGATGAGTAGATGTGCAATACTTATGAGATGTGCTTTAGCAAAACTGTTAAAAAATATATGTTCTCATTAATTAGGAAAGTGAACATCGTACTCATTTACATTTTCATTAAAAAATTGATAAAATATGATCTTCCCACTAAAACATTAATAACGTGTATTTTTCACTTTTCTTGTGTTTGATATACACATGTGGTAGGATGGTCACTGTCGTGTGTGCTACGCACATATATCTGAAACGACACTATTCAAGAACAGAGGGAGTAATGAGTTTTAATTACCATGCACGCAGGAGCTAGAAGCATTTGATATGTGGTGTGGGATGACACACATGTGTGACTCAAAACGGTTTAATTGCAATCGCTCACTCCGTTTTCAACCCTTGAGCAAGGTTTTGTAGCGCGTCTGGTTGTAGAATGTGAAGTGGAATGCAATAAGATGGTTTCGGATTTTTAAGGATGGCAACATGTTTGGTTGGTCAGGTGCAACGAAACGAGAAGGTTCTACCGACTAGAATACTCGCCTCGGATGTGTCGGTAACGCCAATGGAATGCAATAAGATGGTTTGGGGTTTTTTTTAGAGAAAAGGCATACACCCGACTTTATAAATAAAGCCATAAGGCAGGTAGCAGCAACATCCCACACAAGTATCAAACACCCCAAGCCCCAACGATGGGCAGAACGACAGAAGAGAAAGTCAAGTACATGGCACCCTCGCCAGTACACGGCACGCAGGATGGAAGAAGGAAAATCCAGCTACGACAAAGGCAAGCTGCCCAACAAAAGCCCTTAATCATCCTGCGCTTGTCTGCATAACAGAGACACCGTCGCCCGGATTTTGGAGATCAGCATAGAGAGCGCCTCATGGTCGTCGTCCTTAGTCAATGATTTCCACTGCTACAGAAGAGCATACGACTGAAATAAGCAGTCAGCAGGTTTAGCCGGAAACACGTGCTCAGTGACATTGACGCGTCTGCTTGGTCAGGTGGAACAATACAAGAAGGTTCTGTAACTAGAATATTCCCTCGGACGTGTTGGTAACACCGAATCTGATCGAGCAACTCAATTTTCGATCACACAATCTCGCACACTCCAAATCTCACCCGATAAACACACAAAACAGGTTGCACAAGTGGGGTATCCACACCTTTCCTATGGAAGCGGCGACGTAAGTCGTATTCAATTCATTCCGTTCAATGCTCAAAAAAAAAAAAAACAATGCTTCCAAATAGCCAAACCGAGATAAAACCATTTAATGACAAGGCGTATCCACATTTATTACCAAGATGAATACTAGTATACTCATTTAGGATTTCCACTGTAAAACTTTTATGATTAAACATTTTCCACTTTTTTCTTCCACCTCTGATACACACACGTGTACAATGGTCACGTTCTCTATCCTAGAGACCACGCCAGTGTCTAAAACGAGATGTATTCAATAATAGAGGAATTAATGGAATTTAATCATTAATTACTACGTGTAGAAAATGGAAACATTAGACGACATGCACATGTAGGATGAGGGACATGTGTTACACACGAAGGTTCAATCGGTTTTTTTTCACTCTTTCTCTCTTTGAATTTCTCACACCAGTTCAGGTCCTAGCACAAGACTTGTGGTATGCTCGGGTGTAGAATGAAGTGGAATGCAATGGAATTGTTCCAATTTTTTGTAAGGACATCGACTTGTTTGGTTGAGGAGATGGAACAAAATGAGATGGTTCTACTGTTGGGGAACGTTGCAGAAAACAAAAAATTTCCTACTCGTTTCACAAAGATCATCTAGGAGTTCATCTAGCAACGAGTGATTAGATGCATCTACATACCTTTGTAGATCGCGAGCGGAAGCGTTCAAAAGAACGGTGATGATGTAGTCGTACTCGACGTGATCCAAATCACCGATGACCAGCGCCGAACGGACGGCACCTCCGCGTTCAACACACGTACGGAACAGCCACGTCTCCTCCTTCTTGATCCAGCAAGGGAGGGAGGAGAGGTTGAGGGAGATGGCACCAGCAGCAGCACGACGGCGTGGTGTTGATGGAGCTGCAGTACTCCGGCAGAGCTTCGCTAAGCACTATGGAGGTTGAGGAGGTGTTGGGGAGGGAGAAGGAGGCAACCAAAGGCCGAGGCGTTCAGGTATGAAGTCCCTCCTCTCCCCCACTATATATAGGAGGGCCAAGGGGGGGTGGTGCGCAGCCTAGGAGATCCAATCTCCTATGGCCGGCGGCCAAGGGGAGGTTTCCCTCCCCCCCCAAGGCACCTAGGAGGTGCCTTAACCCCCTAGGACTCTTTCCCCCTTAAACCCTAGGCGCATGGGCCTATGTGGGGCTGGTGCCCTTGGCCCATTAGGCCAAGGCGCACCCCCTTACAGCCCATGTGGCCCCCCGGGACAGGTGGACCCACCCGGTGGACCCCCGGGACCCTTTCGGTGGTCCCGGTACAATACCGATAACCCCGAAACTTGTCCCGATGCCCGAAACAGGACTTCCCATATATAAATCTTTACCTCCGGACCATTCCGGAACTCCTCGTGACGTCCGGGATCTCATCCGGGACTCCGAACAACATTCGGGTTACTGCATATACATATCCCTACAACCCTAGCGTAACCGAACCTTAAGTGTGTAGACCCTACGGGTTCGAGAGACAAGCAGACATGACCGAGACGACTCTCCGGTCAATAACCAACAGCGGGATCTGGATACCCATGTTGGCTCCCACATGCTCCACGATGATCTCATCGGATGAACCACGATGTCGAGGATTCTATCAACCCCGTACGCTATTCCCTTTGTCTATCGATATGTTACTTGCCCGAGATTCGATCGTCGGTATCCCAATACCTCGTTCAATCTCGTTACCGGCAAGTCACTTTACTCGTACCGTAATGCATGATCCTGTGACCAGACACTTGGTCACTCTGAGCTCATTATGATGATGCATTACCGAGTGGGCCCAGTGATACCTCTCCGTCATACGGAGTGACAAATCCCAGTCTTGATCCATGTCACCCAACAGACACTTTCGGAGATACCCGTAGTCTACCTTTATAGTCACCCAGTTACGTTGTGACGTTTGGCATACCCAAAGCACTCCTACGATATCCGGGAGTTACACGATCTCATGGTCTAAGGAAAAGATACTTTGACATTGCAAAACTCTAGCAAACGAACTATACGATCTTGTGCTATGTTTAGGATTGGGTCTTGTCCATCACATCATTCTCCCAATGATGTGATCTCGTTATCAATGACATCCAGTGTCCATAGTCAGGAAATCATGACTATCTGTTGATCAACGAGCTAGTCAACTAGAGGCTCACTAGGGACATGTTGGTGTCTGTTATTCACACATGCATTACGATTTCCGGATAACACAATTATAGCATGAATAAAGACAATTATCATGAACAAGGAAATATAATAATAATGCTTTTATTATTGCCTCTAGGGCATATTTCCAACAGTCTCCCACTTGCACTAGAGTCAATAATCTAGTTACATTGTGATGAATCGAACACCCATGGAATTCTGGTGTTGATCATGTTTTGCTCTAGGGAGAGGTTTAGTCAACGGATCTGCTACATTCAGGTCCGTATGTACTTTACAAATCTCTATGTCTCCATCTTGAACATTTTCACGAATGGAGTTGAAGCGACGCTTGATGTGCCTTGTCTTCTTGTGAAACCTGGGCTCCTTGGCAAGTGCAATAGCTCCAGAGTTGTCACAGCAGAGCTTGATCGGCCCCGACGCATTGGGTATGACTCCTAGGTCGGTGATGAACTCCTTCACCCATATTGCTTCATGTGCTGCCTCCGAGGCTGCCATGTACTCCGCTTCACATGTAGATCCCGCCACGACGCTTTGCTTGCAACTGCACCAGCTCACTGCCCCACCATTCAAAATATACACGTATCCGGTTTGTGACTTAGAGTCATCCAGATCTGTGTCGAAGCTAGCGTCGACGTAACCCTTTACGACGAGCTCTTCGTCACCTCCATAAACGAGAAACATTTCCTTAGTCCTTTTCAGGTACTTCAGG